GCCGCTGAAGGAGCTGAAGGTACTGTCGAACAGTGTTTTGGCAGGCGACTCGGAGCCGTTTTCTAGCGGGTTTCCAGGGATATTCTGCCAGGCGTCTGCTAGCCTCGATTGCAGAGCCAATCAGCGCTCTTGTTCGGCCCCATGGTCCCTTGAACCCCACAACAGCCTCGCCTGCGGCGCCTTTGATTGCAAAAGATGCACTGCATGCCTGTGAGACTGACGGGTATATACGAAGTACAGTTCATTTAGACATGAGCCTACCTGGATTGATTCAGAGATTTGAAAGTCGCAAAATGAAGATTTTGTGTATATTATAGACTCCGTAAGCTCTCGAACTGCCTACTTACCTCTAAGGTACAGCAATGTGATTGATACCGCTGTACCTGGCTTGACCGAACTGTGATGCCCTTAGAGGTAACCTGCAGTGCTACCCCCACCTGTAGCTCTTGTGGGCCGCTGCTAACCACTATAGACCAGACCAACCTCACCTTCATCACCTTCACAAAAAAAAAATCATCGTCGCCGTCGACGCCAATACTTCCTGCAGCTTCATTGTGCACCCTTCCCATCCCAGGTCTGCTCTGGCATGAATCCCTACTACAATTGAACTCTTCTTGACTACCTTATTTTTTTTTTCTTCCATCCAAACCCCTTCCCTCCGTATTCCCTCGCGACAGCTATCGACTTGGGCCTTGATTATCCGATACAGCCCATTACCAACATTACCAACGTTCTACGACTGGCTCTGGTGGGCTTCAATGGCGCCACAATGTCCCCCTGATCTGCGCGTTCTCTGCCGCAAACTCACCACCACGCCGCCCGACCTGCTTCCTCACCAGTTGCCTGCTCTTTCTCGCAATGTTTTGCGCTGCAAGGATGTTCTAACCGCGCAGCATGATGCCAAGAATAAGGAGGACGCCTCAACGTCAGCTCTAGTTCACAGGTTCAAGAGAAGCATCACGACGCTCCTGGAAGGACGGAGCCGCGACGGTCGCTTTGCTGCTATCGTTCTCATCAAGGCCGTTGTCGACGTCGGTGGCTGGGAGATTCTTCGCACCGCCGCGCCTTGGGTAAACGGCCTTCTCTCCATCGTTCAGGTATGAAGCTTCGCAATGACATCTAATGGTGCGAATACTAACGGCCTGCAGAAAGGAGACCCCATTGCCTGCAAAGAGCTCGCTATTGTCGTCATCACTCGCATCTACATTCTCATCCAGCCTTATCAGACCCTCATCCGCGAAATAGCCACTCCTACCATCCCGGCCTTTGGAACTGCGTGCGTTCAGCTGCTCAAAGCATATGCTTCAACCCCGCCGCACGTGTCCGAGACCATCTGCACAGCGTTGTGCACTCTGATTCCCCACCATCCCGCAACTCTCCGCCCTTTCAGCTCGCAACTGCGAACCGCTGTGAGACCCTACCTTGCGCCCACCTGCTCAGACGCCATTCATGTTCCCGCGAGCTTGTCCCATGCCGCCAGAAGACTTGTCATTTCTATGCATTTCGTTGCCGCCAAGTCTAGCGGCAGCGACGAATGGGGCAAGCTAGTCGATACTATCCTACGTGATCTCCATCAGACGGCCGACCAGGTCTTACGTGCAGTCGATGAATCATGGCAGCCTACCAGTGGTTATGACAGGACTCGAGTATCGACTGACGGTGAGCCAAGGGGAGGAGACGAGTCTAGTCCTGAGCAGCTTCCCTCATGGGTTGGAGTCACGGCTGGAGCTGAGCGCCTGGCTGGTCTATTTTCTTACTTGGAGGACACATTGCGTTGTACAACTAAATCAGCCGTTACTGTCCCTATTGGCGCATATCTGGATGCTATCTGTCGCATCTGCGTCATTGCCCGACTATCACCAAAAACACAAACGTGGGATCAGGCTCTGGACACGAGCGCTGGCGTTGGCCGAGACGAAAAAGATGAACTATGGAGCTCTGTGCCAACTCTTCACATTGCCGCCATGTCTCTCTTACTAACCATGGTTCGGCGACTGGACCGCGACATGATTCCCCTTGTGCCCGAGGCCGTTGACCATCTTGTGCGAGTTGTCAAGTCTGGCATGGGCCTCTCCCCCATCCGAGCCATTGGTTACCAGGTCCTCGACCAACTTCTCCGCATCGCGGGATCAACAATGCCCAAGACTACCGTCGACATGCTTGACCCCATCCTAGGCGCTTGCTGCCGCGACCTCCAGCAAGACACTGGCGTCCTCAAGCCCGCAGAGAAACCCGCACCGTCCGCCAAAGATGCCAAGAAGAATGGAGGCAGCGTTGCCATTGCCAACGTGGACCTCTTTCTGGCCAAGCCAGAGGTCAACGCCCCCGATACCAACCTCAAGCTTGATTCTGCCCACAAAAATTCTGCCTCGAAGCTTCTGGCCACGCTGCTGTCGTCTCTGACGCAGGGCCATCTCAAGCCGACGATGCGTGGCCTCATTGACAAGACTGCCATCGTTACAGGGAATCGCGATGCCATGCTATCCAGCGTGCTCAACCCTTACAAGGACCAGCGCGGTCGTCTGTATCCCAGCATTTTGCCCTATTTATGCCGACAGTACCCCGAAGACCAGGGTCTCGAGATCCTGCGAAGCAACCTCCGCACGAGTAGCCTCAATGGCTCCGGCGATATGTTTGCCAGCTTTCAAGAAGTCGTAGGAGAGCAGGAGGAGGAGAGGGATGATGATGAAGAAGCAGACGCAGACGAGGAAATGGCGGACGGCGATATTGCCGCTACGGATCCCAGATCCGTAGGGGCCTCCAAAGGGGAAGATTTATCACAGCTAGGCTCTCTAACATCCCTGCCCAAGAAGAACGATACTGAGACCCCACAAGAGAACCCTTTTGCCGCACGAAGCAGTGTGGCCAACAATGGCTTCTCTGCCGTGACTTCTTCCGACTCGCCGTCGAAGCGCAAGCACGACGGCTCGGACGAGGCGGTGCCGGCGAAGCGTCTGGAGGTTGGGAAGCCCGCGGAGCTTCCTACGGCCAGGTCTGCAATACCGCCGCCTCCGGCGAAGCTGGCAGAGGGCGCAGAGGACGACGATGATGACAGCGATGTGAGCGTGCATTTGAATATGGAGCTCGAGGACGACGACGATGATGATGAATAAATAGTACATAGACTGTCATTTGTGTTGCATACCAAGGATAGAGAAAAACCCATGTTGACGGCTAAGTTTCGATAGATCACCAGCCTGCTTTGTACAAACTCATATAAATGGGTATATAAATATATCGAGTCTATACCAAAAACCTTTAAACAGCGCCTATCCTAAGTATTCAGAGTGTAAGTGCAAGTATCAAGCCGCCACCAATGCCAACGCCTCGACAATAAGGAAAAGGGATTGCAAAATATGAAAACGACACGACAACCTCCTGCGACAGAAACCCAACTCTCCCGCACGCTCTCAGTCCCGCAGCCACGCCCTGCGCTTCTCCTCCTTGCGCGCGCGCCGCTTTTCCTTGAAGGCCTTGACCTCTGCCTTGCTCGGCTTCTGATTCTGCCGCTCCGCCTTGAGACTGCGGCCGTCGTGCGCCTTTGACGCCGCGTCCGCGTCAAAGTACGCATTCATCTGCCGGTGCGCCTTTGCATCGTCGCTATGCCGCCCGGGTCCCATGTCCTCGGTCTGGAAGCCGCCGTTGTAGCGGTTAAACGTTGCCGTCGCAGCGTACAGTTCAGCCGCCGCCGCCGCTCCCGAGATGCCATTCGCTTGCGCGTCAATACCGTCTTCTGCTTCCTGGGCGCCCTGTGCGTACCATGCGTTGGGGTCGTAGTCGCCGTGGATGGCCGGGTTGTAGCCGCCGGCCGCCGGTTTCTCGTGGATCGGGGGCTGTGGTAGCATCGTGGCGGCGGCGGTCGTGCCCGGTGCGACGGAGGCGGCGGCGGCTGGCATTCGGGGGTTTTCCCATTGCGTCTTGCCGGTGAAGCGGTTGCAGAAGAACCACGCCTGCGTGCGCGCGTCAAACTGGCAGTCCCAGCCGTCGTCCTCGGGCACGGGCTCGCTCGGCAGCGGGGGGCCGCCAGGTGTCGGCTCGTCGGGCAGCGGCGACGCCGTGGATTCTAGCTCGCCATCTTCGAGATCATCGTGTGTTGTGGCGGCTTTGTGGTCCGCTGCATCCTCAGCCTTGGCGGGGGAAGCTGTCGTCTTTGCGCCACCCGCGCTGTCGTCGTCGTCGTCCGCAGCAGGACTTGCGCCAGATGTGCTTTTGCTTGCTGGAAGCTCTAATTGGAAGCGCTCCTGTGTTGCGTTCTCCGCATCTTCTGCGTGAGCTTCCGAAGCTGGTGACGCCATTTTCGAGCTTTTGTGCTGTGCTGGGAATAACCGTTGTAGCGTGGGGTGCGTTGTTGCTGGTGGCGACGTGCTCCTGTGATCATATGCAGTGGTGAGCGTCTAGAAAAGTGGCCGTCATCGTGATACGTGGGCACCTGTGAGCAAGGAACAGAGATGATTGATTCGAATCTCTGTTGTAGGTTGAGCGTCCGGTGACGTCTGCAATGTTGCGCGGCGCGAAAACGTTTGTAGGTGCGACATTGTGGTGCCTGGCAGCCTCGCAGGGATGGCTGCTGGTGTGGGCAAAACAATCGTCATAGCTGCATTCGGTGGGCGGTGAGCTGGACCTGCATTTTCATCACGTGTAAGGCATGGTTGGTATTAGAATCATGAGAACCTTCAACAATTAGGCACCCGATCATCGGCAAACTATTTTGAGTTATTGATCGATAAAAGTGTTTCTCGGAAAACTCTCAGTGGTGAAGCCTTGCCATCTCTGGCACTTGATGTACTTGATGTATGCACTCGAATGCCGACCGTAACACTGCGACTATAACTGCCGACGAGGGCCAAGTAATTTTCAAGAAGCAACGCGATCGAAAACTAGCAGAACATGGACAATGAAGTAAAAAAAGAAGACCTGGATTGAGAAAGACCGGGGAAAAGTAGGCAGCATAGGAGCAGAGAATGACGACAAAGCAAAAAGATGGACAACTCGTGTTGAGTTGCTCACGGCAGGGATTGAACCTACGACCTTCGCATTACTGAGATTGAACAGTTGCCCAATATTAGTACGACGCTCTAACCAACTGAGCTACGCGAGCTCCGTTTTTTGTTGAATGCTACTGACTTATCTCAATACAATAAGTATAAGAAGAAGAACCTGTTTTGACTCACTGCTGCATCAGAACGGCTCAGGATACATACTGCCTCGGCAAACTAAGCTTACCGTTTTCGCTTAGCACAAATGGCAATGCGAACCTTGCCGTCAACATATAACGAACAGACTGCGTTGACATCGTAGATCCCAAAGCAGTCAATCATGCCTCCGACGCGCGAACATGTGGTGGGTTGCTGAACTAAATACCGGCTGGCTCAACCAAGGGACTTGAGTGATACTGCTTGCTCGGTTTGACTTTCTGAAGCAGCTGGTCTGACCAAAAAACTTCCTGGTACTATTTTGGCGTGAGGGCCAAGTCAGAGCCCTTCATAATGCCCGTCGGAACCCCTGCGAATGCCGGCTCTAGACTCGTTTACTCTAACTTTCCAATTCTTCAACATGCTTTGGAACGCTGTAATCTTTACGTGGCGCGCTTCATAGCAATGCGTTTGTTGGACAGACATGATATCATCGTCTGTATCAGAACAGTTTCCCGGAAGATTTACTATCTAATTAGTTGGGCTGTATGATCACGACAGTACGACCAGTGCATCCTTCTCGCAAGAACAGATGCAAGAACAGATGCAAATAACAATTGGAAAGACATTTTGTGAGAAGGAGACTTTTTTCAGACGGGAGGCGTCACTTATTGAACGTTTCTGGGAGGTTGTTACCGGGCAGCAGGACGATCACGACACGGCCAGATCGGAAAATTTTCAGGTTGCTTAAGCTGCTGGTTGTGTCGTCGTTGTACAGCTTCCACATTCTGCTTAACACTACATCTCCGCAACAGCTCTGATTGTCGCTGCCAGATGCTGCTGTACCGTACGAGCAGATATGAGATCTTTTGGGACAAAATGACAACTGACTTGGTGGGACGATGAGATTGCCCAGCGAGTCCGTTGGAGAGAGCCAGTCAAAAACAAAAAGAAGGGGGGGAAATGTCAAGCCCGCAACCCATAATATAAGTCTTGATTCACACACACAGGTGACGGCAAAGATTTCAACCAGCTCCACACCGTGCCTTGCCTGAGAACCACCAGCCACTCGGCGTCAAAACCTGTTAACGGGGTGTAATAAGCGAGACCACGGCTGGATTCACTCAAGCACCAAAGGAGAGCAAATGAAAATTATTAAGAAGACAAATCAAACAAAAAAAAGAATTATTTCCAGGTCACGGTGGGGATCGAACCCACAATCTTCTGGTTCGTAGCCAGACGCCTTGCCATTTGGCCACGCGACCAAGCAGTTGATGAGGACCAGAAGGTGCCAAAATGCACCCATACCGTCAGTGTTGTGCCCAGTTGTCAATATGTCAGTTGAACTTCATACCATTGTCTACCCTACATGTGGCTTTCAGCACCGTCGTGATCCTGCCGAGGCCACCGGCTGTGCCAAGTAGTCAGATGAGTTGGCCAAATGCATGGACGCGGCGGCCGGTGCCAAGTTCTTCTCTGGTTTATTAGTGTGCGTTACGTCCTTAGCATAGAGGGACAGTCTTGGCTATCTACCTCGCTATGCTAGAAGATGGCGATGAGAAACAGCAACAGAGCTATCCTCCGGCGGGAAGTCCGACGCGAAAGTTAGCTCAACGCTTACTTGCTAACAGTTACGTATTTACACGGTGGTCATGGGCATTGGAAAACCGACAATCTTTTTTTTAATACGAAAAAAATCAAAGACTCAAAATAGCAACCAGTATACCTAAGCATAGGAAAAGGCAACGTCCCAAAAACAACAGAGGGTGCAGGTATTATCACCATGAAAATGTGTAAAATAAAAAGGAAGACGTTTTAAGAGACCCGCAGAGACTTCTCTGAATGCATCAGACCCAAAATCTCTAAAGCCAATATATCCCTTTTCCCTACTTTATCCTTGTTTGAAGGCCCTCCCTTTTGTATGGGTTCTCGCTTCCTCTCGTTTTTATTCCCTTTCTGCCCATTTTCTTTCGTGTTTTGTGTTTTTGATGTTAGGTGATTGAGACGGAACAGCGCCATAGAAGACTGATCTGCGCAGAAGGAGAAACTAGACCGCATCAATTATTCCTCGACTGTAGATGATCGATTCTGCTATCGATTGTCCGCTCATGCGAACCATTTTTAATACCCTCTTCTATCCGAACAAACTCGATACATGTCTGTCTCGCCAAGCCGTAGCGTCGCGAGCGCATCCCATCCGTTGATTCTTAGCCCGCGGTCACGGCTAAACGCCGTCCAGTTGGAAATGCGAGGGATCGGGGCCGTTGATCGCTTATTTGCCGAGGCTGGGGAAGGCAGCCTCGTCCTTGGTGTTGATGTTAGCAGCAGGAGGACGACCGCCACGGGCACCACCACGGGCACCACGCTCGCCGCCGCGACCACCGCGATCACCTCCGCGGTCACCACCACGGTCACCACCGCGAGCACCACCGCGGTCACCACCGCGAGCGCCACCGCGTCCACCGCGTTCACCACGGGCACCACCACGGGCGCCGCCACGGGGACGTTCAGACTCAACGAAGCGAGGGTCAAAGTCAATCGTCTGCTTGACCTTGCGCTCACGCTCACGGAGCTTCTTGCCACTGGCAGCAGTGACATACTCCTCCTCATCGTTCTCGAGAGCCTTGGCGCCAGCCCACTTCTTGTCGAGCTTGCTGCCCTCGTTAGCCTCACGGACCTTGTGGCCACCAAGAGCGAGCTTCTTCTCAGCCTGCTGGGCGAGATAGTCGCTGTACGAAACACTCTTGTCCTCGGGCTCAGCGGGCTCGACCTCGGCATCAGCGGCGGCGTTCTTGTCGCCCTCGGCAATAGCCTCGGCGGCCTGCTCGTCCTTGAGCTCGGCGTTACCCTCGTTGGCGCCCCAGCCTTGAGCAGTCTGCTTGGCAGTGGTGCTATAAAATTTGTTAGTTGGTATGCTGCGCGGCAGTTAGAGGCGCCATAACCAACTTACTCTCGGTTCTGACGGGAGTGACGGTCATCCTGCTCACGGGGACGACGGCCGCCACGACCTGCAGACGTGTTAGTGTGTTGCCAGAACAGAGGCGGTGCAAAGAGCACAATTGGCATAATTGGCTTAGAGGAGACGTACCGCCACGACCGCGGGCTCCAGCACCACCACGGGCGCCCTCACGGGGGGCCTCATCAGTGGAGCGAGCCTGGTTGCGAGAGCTACCAGCGTTGCGATCGCGGAAGGCTGTGAAACCCGGTTAGCTGCTTTCCTGAAAGGCCACTTGCCAGACCGAATGATTCCACAAAGCTGGGCACAGCTAAAACTTACCACCCTCGTTACCACCAGGACCACCACGGCGGTTACCAGTGGCACCAGCCGCTCTTACGGGAGCCTGGGGCTCGACATTGCGCTTGGTGGTATGAGTGGAGGCCTTGTCGACAGTCTTGACGGGAGCATTGGGCTTGGCATCACCGTCTTCGTCGTTGCCTGAGAATCCATGCAAGGTCAGTACGTTGAGTTTGTCGGGGCAGTAGAGGGTTGATGAATTTGCGACGGCTTCGAATTCGAGACGATTCCATGTCGAATAGAAAGCTTATGCAAAATGGGAAATTGGAAGCATACCGAAGTAGGCGAATCGGTTCTGTGAGGCAGACGCACAAGTTAGCAAATTACATTCATGGCAGCTCAAAATGCCGAGCCATGTCGCCTGCGCATCACACCGCGACCCAGAGAAGACGCGCCAGCACCCCCGAGTGCTTTGAAAGCTATCTCGCTTCGCTTTGAAGTCGTAGAAAAAATTTGGTCGGGCAAAGATGTTCCGATGGAAATTTGGATGGTTGTTTCCTGTAACGTGCAGAGGAGGTGCTGGCGGCCTTTTTCTCTCTCGTTTGGGCAAAGGGGCAGTATGTGTTGCCTCGAATTGCTGGCGAGGTAATGCGTATACAAAAATCATCAATGCGTACCTGAGAGGTAATAGCGGACGACATCTTGGTCGTTTTGTTTATGGCTTAACGCCTACCGACGAGGAGCTTTCAATGGCGGGTGGGAGTGTTGACAACGTGTGTAGTGGCGGAGGCAAAAGAGCGTTCGGGATCGCATGACCTGTGTGGGAGAGGGAGTGAGTGGTTGGGCGGGCCAAGGCAGGGAGGTACCTCTGCCTACCTCGCAGCAAGAGACAGCAAATTGCGATAGACTGGGGCGACCAGATGAACCAGACAGCTAAAATTGGGGGGAAAGAAGAGCCGAGGAGCCAGTAACAGAGCAGCTGTAAGGGACACGCAGCCCAGGCTGGGGCCTGAAACAGGGCGCTGTCGACAGCTGCAGAGCTCAGCGACCTACAGGGCAAGTTGATCCTGCTTCAGTATATTTTACAGCGCCATGGGAGAGCTCTTCTCGTCTAAGATAGCGCCAACAGGTACCTCCAGGTACCTTGTTGCCAATCCGCTGGGCCACACGACACATCCCCAGCAAAACCGTGCAACTGTCAAGACCTTATTTTTGGTTATACATGGCAATCAACGATTTCCATACATTTTCTCGAGACTCTACGCGTAAAAGTGAATCATGTACGCATGCAGCATCTTGTTGTCCAAAGGCGGTCGAATACTCGCTTAAATTGCGGTACCAAACACCTACCTACTTAAACCCCAACTTTTTTGTGGTTGATTTATTTATTTTAGTTTTTTGTGTCCAAAGTAGGGCTCTTTTCTTGGGCCTCCGAGTAATAAGTGTGAGTGGCCCCGCAGTCGTTAGTGCTTTTGCCCGTGCCGCAACCAGGAGCACTAGCACATCACAGCTGGCAGCGGCTCCACTTCTCGTCTCTGTCTCCAGCTGGTTTTCTTTGCTCTCGCCAACAACATGAACAAGTAGCGGTGCCATGGTGGTTGCTACGAATGTTCCATCGCTCCCTGAAACAGCCGGATGTCCTCACCGAGTGAATTAGCCGGAATCTGATACCTACTTGCTGATTCTTGGAATCTGTCACTTCGATACGCTTGTATGCACACCATCACCTGA